CCGGCTGAGGAGCCCGACGGTTCGCAGGGGCACTCGTTCTCAGACACCCCCGACGTCCTCCCCTGTTCTGTTGGAACTGTTGATAGCGCGGGGGGCCCGACCAGTTTCCCTGATACGCAGCGGGCTGAGCGGGCGTGTACTGATAATAACTGATGGTATTGGTCGTTGTTGGTTCCGGAAGCGAATTACTCCTTGCTGGCTTAGCAAACTTCTTTATTGATAGTCCTTGTTTCTCTATGCCTCTGGAGGCTTTTGTTTTGTCGCCTAGTTTATTTCCGTAAAGAGTGTTATCTCGTTCGCTCTCTTGAACAACGTTCAAGAAGCGTTTCGCTAGTGAGTAATTGATGACACTAATGCGCGATTTCGTTTGCTGGTATTGAAGATCAGTAAGTATACGACATCCATCACTTAGTATTCTGATAGCTTCGATCTTGTCGCTTGTAAGCATGATAGTCAAAGCTTTGTTGATGGCTGCTGTACCTAGCCCTAACTGTTGCTGGTCGGTCTCCTTTCTTTTATCTCTTTGGCGCGCCGCTTCTGAACGGCGTCTCGCGCCGAATAGTGCCGTGACCAAGCGTCGTTAGGAAATCGATTGAATTCAAATATCGATTCTCGATATCAAAAATCTCTAAAAGCGTGCGATTCTACCTTGTAGGCTAAAAGGACTACCTGGTTATGTTATATCTGAAGAATGAAGCGAAGAAATATAATTATTATTTTATCAACAAAAACAACCTTTAAATCACGTTCAGCATACATTTGATTTTCAGCCACATAATTTTCTTTCCGTCTTTATCCTTACTTGTATTACTGATGTTTTTTTTTTTTTTCATTTAGAGCCTTTACATCAAGCATTTCATTATAAGTAAGCTCAAAGCTGTTTCCCGGATTCTCACTGAGCGTGCGTGACGCATGATTGACTGGAAGTCTATCATAATTTCGTTGAAAATTGGCGTTAATATTGATTCCAATTTGGTTTCTTTCTCTGTAGTTGAAATAAAGTGAGCTCTTATTGCAATAAAACTGTCTATATCGAGACATAAAATTGGAAAACCAATCGCTTCCAGGGCGGCCATTTGCATATGTTACAGAAAAACAGTTCAATAATGGTCTTGGCTTATACGGTGTAGTGACAAGTATGCACCACAGTGCTTAGTTTTGATTAAATCATTGTACAAAATTTATATAAATTATTGCACTGTGAATACTTGCACATAATCCTAAAAACCCGGTGAATCTAGGTGAATCAATCAACCTAATGCGTTACTTATCGAGATTCACTGTCAGTCATCAACATATCTTTGCAAGATTGCAATGTTTTCTGCATTTTCAAGATTAAGTGCCCTTTTTAGACCATAAACATGAACTTTTGTGTATAAAATATCAAACAAATCTTTCAAAGTAAACAGCATTTTAGCTGTCCCTTCTATTTTGTCGAACTGCTTTAGTCTCAGTGTTCTTGCAAAATATAAGAGCTATTGCTACACTTCTACTGAATATTTGTGTAGCAAGCTTTACTTTCATTTTTTTTTTTAATGACAAATGTTCAGCACGTAACTTATTGGGCGCATGAAATTTTTCATTCTCTTGTAGCTTGTGAAGTGACTCAATGTGACTCCACTGAATGCTGTTTCCATCAACATCATGAAATTCATTGTAATGCTGAAAACTATTTCTCACCAATTTTACCATATAAGCAGGATCAGGAAATACTGCGATTTGCAAATCTTCTATTTTAATGACAGTCTTCAAATTATCGGGATCAAGATTATTCAAGATTGCATCCCAGTTTTTTTGCCATCGCTTTTAGCTGGACAACCGTCGAATGTCAGCTTTTACTATAACTTTAGCCTTATTATAAAGTTTAATAGCTTCAGTAAGCAGAAAGACTTTTTGATCAGCGTTGAGTTTTGTTATCAAAAAATACCCAATGGGAACTTTCCACTTTCCGTGTAGTGGAACCACAAGAAAAACTAAAGCCACGTTTTCACTAGAGGACATGTCGCGGAGATAGATAAGTCGTCCGACATTCACGTAGTTTGTCTCTGCAACTTTGTCCCTCGACATATGACTTGTTCACACTGGCCAGTTGTGAACAGAATGTCACCCGAGGAGGTAGTGTTGTTCAGTTCAGCTTACACAATTATTCGGAAGAATATAATATACCACTATATACTACTGCGTTTTATGTAAAGCTTGTAATATGTGTCCTTGTAATTGTGGTGGTACTGCCTTTGCATAATGTATTATACTATATTTCTTTGGCATTCGTGCAATTACAGCCTTGGCCAAAAGTATTTACAACAAAAAAATAATACTTTGTAGGACCACCCTTCGCCTTAATTACTGCAGAAATTCTTTTTGGTAAAGATTGAACTAATTTATTACAATCGTCGTATGTTAAAGCGTTCCACTTTTCCAGCAAGCGACATTTTAGGTCTGCTTTTGTTTTTATTAAATGGTGCCGGACCTTGCGCTTCAATAGATCACACAAATGCTCGATGGGGTTCAGGTCTGGTGACTGGGCAGCAGTGGTGCCAGATTAGGCGAATTATCGCCATTTAGGCTACCTTCGGGGGTCAAATGGCGACCAAAAAATTCAATCGGCTGCCGGTAGCCATTTAGGCTACCTAGAAAAAAAAATTGGGCTATTCAGGCTAATTCAGGATTACCTTGGAAAAAGAAATTTTCTTATTGATGATAGTAGGTATGCATGTAACGAAACGTAATTTATGCACATCCATCTATCTATCTATAACTCATAATCTGAGACATCCACCGTTCTTTCCATTCACTCACTTTTTGTAAGAGTGAGAGCAATTGCGTATGACAAGAAGAAAACAATCAAGCGAATAATCAAAAATCAGCAAAAAAAAAACAAAAATGTTTTATCAAACCATATTTTTACAAAAATTCAGCCTCAATGAGACGTCACGAATCCACCCAGGACCCATGCCAAAAATAGATAATAAGCTTTCATGATAGGGTCATGCAAACTTTTGTGAATATCTGAGCATTCGCTTTCCTCGAGCCATTATCCGTCAAAATAAAGCTGCAGCGCGTCCCATTGTTCTAATATTCTTGTTACAACTGAAACCAGAGAGAGCCATCGCGTCTGTGCAGGCCTTAATATTTTATGTACATCAGTTTCCGTAAACAACTGAAAGTCTCTGAATTCTGCTTGGCGTTTGCTGCTTAGTTTAAAATAATTATAAATTGCTCGAGCTAACTTTTCAGTATCTGGTGGCAATTTTTTTGAGGCATCGCTTGCGCATAGATGCAAAGAATGGCATATACATTTAAGTACTGTAATAACGGGGCACTTCTCACGAAATTGACTGGATACTGAATTTCTACAACCCATCATTGTATTGCATCCGTCTGCACCGAAGCCTACTATGTTATCCAGAGGGACTGAATACTTTTCAAAAGACTTCATTACCAGTTTAAGCAGATGACGTGCGTTAGCAGAATAATCCTTTTGGTTGAATTCAAAAACTTGTATTAAGTCCCAGAAACGACTTAAAACTTTTCCGTGGTTATAGTCGTAATATCGTACTACTACGCACATAGTTTTCACCACTGCAATATCAGTGCTCTCATCTATCATCACTGAAAACTTACTATTTTGTAGATCACGAGCCAATATGTATCCTTTTCGCTCCTGCCAACTACATTGTTGATGTACTATCGGGGACTCTTCCGCCTGACCACTTTGTAGAAATTTTAGCGTAAGCGCATCCCTCCGGTCACGTGCACACCCCGTCTCTAATTGGTTACGCATTTTACTATATTTTTACTACGACCAATAAGAGACAATCAGGGCTTAGGTTGCAATACGAAATACCATTGTGCACTTTATTGTCATACGGTAAAGGTTTAAAACGAAATGTTTCTTTTTCTTCAATCTTTCTTAGTTTTAGGCTGAGTTGCACCACCTAACTTTGACCGTAACTATAACAGTAACCGGTGCTTTTTGTATGGAGTTTGACAGATTTTTGACGTTTATCAAAGTTAAAGTAAGATGGTGCANTGTAAGCTATTTTATTATTGTAAATTTTGTATTTATTTTTCATGGGGTATTTTTTTTATAATATTTTATGAAAATTATTACACAAATGGAATCTTAACTCGATACCTATTAACACCTTAATGGATCGGACAGTGTTTCCGTTACATATTGTATAAAAGAAAGTCGTGTTAGTTACTCCACTTATAACTCAAGAATGGCGGAACCGATTTAGCTGAAAATTGTCAGGGAGGTAGTTTAGAGCCAGGAGAAGGACATAGGATACTTTTTATCCCGTTCGAAATTAAAAAAAAAGTCTGCTTATTTATTGCCATTAAGGCGGAACAAAGTTCGCCGGGTCAGCTAGTTATAAATACATGTCAGTTACCATTTTGCATCATAATTATGCTGATTTAGTTACACCTACATCACATTGTCACATCCTGATCATACATACATAATGTGAAATAATAAATTACTCTAAGACTTCCGAGCCATTGCTAAAATATTTGTGTTTGAGCTTGGTGACCACTTCAACTCTACTCACAAGCCAGTATCATCCTAATCTTCCCAATACCACACTTACATGTAGGATTTAGATCATTTTTTACTAATATTCCACTATTTTCCACACAGAAAGCTTCACATTTATCCCAGTAATGAACACAAAATTTAACCAAACAGGTTTGAAACTTACTTGACTGATCATCCCAACTCCCAACTGATATTATAAATGCGAAAGTAACTCTGTCTGTCTGTCTGTTACGCTTTCCCGCTTAAACCTCGCAACCGATTTTGATGAAATTTGGCATAGAGATAGTTTGAGTCCCGGGAAAGAACATAGGATAGTTTTTATCCCGGTTTTTGAAACAGGGACGCGCGCGATAAAGTTTTTCTGTGACAGACAAAATTCCACGCGGGCGAAGCCGCGGGCGGAAAGCTAGTTGTTCATAGAAGTTTTGAAACCAAATGTAATTTTTTCCCATTCCAGGTGCTATTCAAAATGGACTTAGACGGCACTGGTACTCTCGTAGACACAACGAAGCTGCCACTCGTCATGAAGTGTCCCATCGAGCACTATTCCTTCGACAAGTTCCGGCAGATGTGTATAATGTCGGGCTGCGACTACCTCGCGTCGCTACCAGGCATCGGGCTGGCCAAAGCCAGGCAGTTTGTTACTGCTACACAGGACTCCAACTTTGCTAATGTAATCCTACTAATATTTTCTACGAAAGTTTGTATGAATGTCTGGATGTCAAGGGCCCTCGCCCACGCACGGTGGATCGAAATGGCATTAAAGTGGACATAGGGATTTTTTCCGGAAAATCTAATTTTAAAAATTGCCAATCGATAGTCCTTTGCTCACTCATCACGACATGTCATATCACATTTTTCTCTAAACCTGATACTTTAGCTTAAAAAAAATAATTTGTGTTTTTTTTGTATGAAACGAGACATAAAGTGCTAATTTTCTCCGAAGACCTGCTAGATCGTGACTTGAAACAACCTAGGTCGGTATAACTGCATTATTTATTAATATTCTAAGCTATTTCCAGCTGCTCCAAACCGCAACTTAGGCTGTTAAACGATTCCGAAAAAAATTAAAAATTGACTCTTCTTGTAATTGTATTTTAGTTCTTTTTTTTAGAAAAAGCTTCGATTACGGTACTAGAAAGTGATTTTATCGTTAGGTGACATTGTTATCTATTCTCAAAACCTGTTAAACCCTTTCTTTCCTATCAGCACATGACTTTAAAACAACAATGAAGTTACTCATACCTCGTAAATAACGTGTTTTGCGAATAAGCAGATAATGGTCAGGGGTGGGGGTAAAAAACAGATAAGGATTGTTTATTTGTTTTAAATTTAGTTTGGGCTGTGTAACGTCACCAATAACATTCAACTTTAAATGCGGTTTTTAACATGTAATTACAATGGAAGCTATTGTGAATAATATAGATTTGTTCGTAGTCTTAAGAAATACCTTAAAACCTTTCATGGACAGTGAGGAACTTTATAATCACCTTTAGCAGAAAATGGTACATTTGTCAGAAGAAAACAGTGTTAAGAGCGTTTACGCCGTTTGGCGCAAAAACAGTAAATGTAAATCATATTTTGAAGTTATAATAGCGTAGTTATGTTTGACTAACAATAAATGAAAGCAAAAGACTGGCAAAGTAGATTAGGTACAAGTGTGCGTTACGATAATTGGAATTACAAAACTTGTACTCAAAATCGTGATAACGTGTAAAACAATATCGATTGTCTATGTTATTAACTACTGTTCCTTTTCGTTTCCTAATTTGTTAAGAATGTATCGTATAATATTTTTCCATAGTTTTTTTATAGGCTTGAAATTTATTGAAATTCAATTTAGCAACCCTGTGGTACAAATTATCCAACCGGTTGGCTAAATTGGACCGAAGCTCTGAACTCGTACTTTGTTGATTTGTGCTAAATATACAACAATCATGTTAATTAATACTTATGAAATAGTAATTTAAATAATGTATCTTTTATTATATACCATGGACATTAGCAAAAACAAAATAAAACTATGTGTAAAATGGGATTGAAAAAAACTGGTCCAAATTAGCGGACTCTCCCTTATTAATTTAAGAATTCTATCAAGATAAGTCCTCACAGGTTTTCAAATTTCCACTTTAGCGTCAGTTTATAAGCTGATTTTTTTATAAAAATACTGTGAAAACGATATAACAAACATTTATATCCTATAGCATAGGTCTTTAGGCAAATAGTTAGTTGAGAAAATTCTTAGATTTAAGCATTTTACAATAAGAAATCACAAATTCAAAGAACGTGAAATACCCAAAAATCAAAGTGATTTTTACACCATTATTCTTCTTGATGATAGACAAACTGTCATCTTTCTCTTCCCCAATTTTTAAGAAGAAACAGTGATTGGCTTGAATCTCCAATTAACTGGGTCTGCCAACTAGTTTTTGATGAAGACAAAATTGAGGAAAATGTTCTGTTTCCGAGTTAATTTATGTAACGTGTAATTCATCTTTTTTTCTGTTTCTGAGTTAATTTATGTAACGGTTTCCTCGGGATAAAGGAAGTAGTCGAAGCATGTAGTGTATAAATTGACATGTTTTCTGTAATAGCATCTATATTTGACGTTGTTTTTTCACTAGGTTCAGTAATTGAACCAACATTTTCCTCAATTTTGTCTTCATCAAAAACTAGTTGCCAGACCCAGTTGATTGGAGATTCAAGGCAATCACTGTTTCTTCTTAAAAATTGGGGAAGAGATAGATGACAGGTTGTCCATCGTCCATTAAGATTAGTATAAAAAATCCGGCAAACTTTTTTTAACTTAACACTGTTTTCTTCTGAAAAATGTACNCCACGGCGACTTTTTGTAGCGATACTGTCGCGCGTTTCGTAAATAGCGACAGCATCGCTACTAACGCGCGTTAGTCGCATTTGCAACGCACTACAGAAGTGTTGCCAACGCGCTACTAACGCTACAGCAGCGCGACTGTATCGATACAAACGCGCGACAAAACACATACAATTTTGTTTTCAAAGGGATCAAAATTAGGGATTGATGATGAAAACGAGTGTGCTCGTGCGTGCGAACGTGTTCTAGTTGAAAATTCTCTTACAATAATTTCTATTACATTCTTTACAAGAAACTTGAAATGTAAGATTTTCTTTTTGATTTCCAGGCGCTTAGAAAACTGCCGAGTTTCTTCAACAAATCGTCGTTGACGGTCACAGACGAGTACCGGGAGAACTTCCTGAAGGCGGAGGCGACGTTCAAACACCAGTACGTGTACGACCCTTTGGAGAGAAAGATGGTGCGGCTCACTGAGCCGGATGACGAAGGTACAGCTATTGTTATGATTCTTACATTCTTCTGCAAATTCATCATTGTTTTATATTCTTCTACTTCTTATTTTATTATTACAAAAACACATAAAGAGTACAATCAACAAAGTACATTTATGACGCAACAATAAACTTCTCCTTTATGGCTGTTTAAGTGTTTATGTTTCTTCATTTTTCGACTTTATGTTACGGCTAATCTTGCCATTTAAAGCGCGAAATTCTATGCCAAATGTTATGATCAACAAATCTATTAGTAAAGTGATTTTTACCTAAATAGTAAACTGGTACATAAAGTGTTGTAATATAGAGCCATCCATTTTTAAAGTGAAGAATATGTTAATAATACCTATGCCTGTTTTCCTATGATATATGTTTCGTATTTTTAAAGCATTTTACCGATTCTTTGCAATCACTTACAAGTAATTGATAAAAAACCGGATTTTCAAGAAATTGACAAATGTATTCCAGATATTGAAACAGCACTCTGCGTGAACGCAGGCGAACTCTTAGACCCTCACACTGCGTTTCAGTTGGCGCTGGGAAACCTCGACCCTTTCACCCTGAAGAAGATGGACGACTGGCACCCAGATACAAGTGTTTTGGTAAATACATTAATTACTTTTGTTACGGTCTATCCTCGTCGCCACTGATAAATAAAACAACGTTTTCTTGCGAGAAACGTCTATAGTCTGGTCCGGGAGCACGTCGAATTTTGTCCAATGACCCCATGGTTCCTTATCGCTCGCGCGTAATTATATTGCTCTCGCGACTGTGCGACGGGCGCCCGCAGTGAGTGTGCGAGCGTGACAGAAACATAATTACGCGCGAGCGATAAGGATGGGTAGCTTGGGGTCATTGGACAAAATTCTACATGCTCCCGGACCAGACTATATTTGAAAACTGAACTAGTACAAAACGGATACTGGTTTATAAAAGTAAATTCACAGATACCTTCATACGATACAATAACTTTTAAAAATCTATTGGCTCAGATGGGAATGAGTCCCACGTTTCGTAAGAATTATTGTAGGTATGACATGAATAGGTAATTTTCAACTTACGCCCATTTGACGATAGCAAAACGACAGTGCCGGATATTTTGAGTAAGATGTAGAGGTTTTTTAGGGTTCCGTATTTAGTTTTGGTTTGTAGAGTTAGGGCATGTAGAATTAGAAGCCTGGGACATCACCATGGCATCTGATAACTTATCAAAAATGATTTATAAAATGAAATAAACATTATTATTGTAATATTTCAGGACGGTAACATCAAGACAGCCAGCTGGAAAGAAAAAGGCGTTTCAACTCACCCTAGCATCTGGAAGCCTGACTTCGCTGCACACTTGGCCGACTGCAGTCCTTGGGCGAAGAAGACGAAGCCAGTGGAAGCGATCATAGCAGCCCCACTCACGAGGCCTAGGAAGAAAGTGGTCAGCTTGGTCAGCAAGTATGTGGCTGAAACGCAGGACGAAAGGTGAGGCGGAGTGGTTGGTGATTGGTGTTGGGGTTGTGGGTTCGAATCCCACTGGGGACATTGAAATTGAGGTGATTTTTCAAAACGTGACAACATCGAGCTACCTTATCCATCTGTTTTAATATGTTAAAAAAAGTTCTGCTTAGTTTGGAAAAAAATACTGTGGAAGTTGGAAAAAGTCAATATGATCCCAATTTAAAAAAGTACATTATTCGATGATTACTAAAGATTTTCCTTTTCGGTCCGCTAGATGGCGGGACGTGGATGTGGGGTCTGACTGCTGCGTGATTGGTGGATTTTGACATATCTGTCAATGTCATGTCAAAAATAACCAATCATGCAGCATTTGGACCTCGCGTCTACGTATTGCCATCTGGCGGATTTTTCATACGCGAAAACCCTCATTAAATAATTTCGTTTCGTTTTCACAGCTAAATTAAACCCAAATCTAATAAATTAATTATTTTTATTATTATAAAACTTTATTGCAAAATAAAAATTATACAAAAGGTGGACTTAATGCCATAAGCATTCTCAGCCAGTCAACCCCTGGGTTATGCAGAAATTAATTATGTAATTTCTTTTTCAGCCTAACAATAGAATCACTAAGCAGTATGTACTGCAAAGAACCGGCTTCTAAGAAGCTAAAAATGGACTGTGATACTCTAGATAGTGAAACATTTACGCAGAACACGTCAAGTGACCACGACATCGCTATAATTGAAGACTCTACCCAAGACTTGCCATCACAGACCCGCAAATCTCCTATACTAGAAAATAAGGACAGATCATACAAAAAGAGTCTAAACAGTTACTCAGTATTGAAAAAACTGAGTAGATTTCCTCGAACTGTGTTAGGTGATAACGTCGTAGAAAGTAAGTTCTTTAATTCTACCTCAACTTCTGAATCTCCCTCGAAGGACCAAAAAGACTTATCGCGAACCAGTATTGTGATAGAGGAATCTCCGGATAAACCGAGCAGGAATCCATTTAAATTAAGATCTCCGGAATGCAGCCGGACTCTGTTGATTGATACTCAATGTATGGAAATACCAGATTCACAATTAGACAGTTCTCAAAAGGAGAATTCTCCGCAGAATTCTCCGGTTAAAAGGGAGAGGAGTCCTATACTTGAGCCGAGCCCTATAAGCAGGAATCCGTTTAAGTTGAAAGCTGAGATGGTGCAAGCAGTGATGGAGCGACTGACAGAAGACTCTGTGATAGATAATACGTATCCGCTAGAAGAATTGGTGACTCCGGTTGACTCACAGGTGAGTGTATAGTTTAAAGTAGTTGACATTAGATTACACATTTTTGTTGCTAAATAATTTAATGCTATTGGAACTGAAGACAACACGGGAAAAACAAAGAATGTCAAAAAACTACAATTAAGAGAAAAACAGTTTTTAAAGGTGGTTTGAAAGTCTATATTTCTTTCATTTTAGACTCTTTTATGTGAGATATTGAAACAACTTATTACTGTGTTAACATATGCTTTGCCTGTACTTCTAAAACTCGATTTGTTTAAATAAGTTTTAAGTTATGGTCCACAATATAACCGTTTCTTGCCATGGACAAACAAACACAAATTGAACTATTACAGTTGACCACGACGATTTTACCCAATTCTGATTTTTGAAATAGAATGTTTCCCTCAAAAGCTAACAGATGGCATTAAAAAGTAAGTTTCACAAAAAAGGTGATATTCATTGTTTTTCCCGTGTGGTCTTCAACTATCCTGTGGAAAGATGTATTCGCTTCTACAATCCACGTGAACGCTTCAACGTGATGACGATCGCTCTGCCAAGAGCGAAACGACAAAATATTTTATAATGACGTAACGCCCGTATTCAAAAACATCACCAATCACAAAGCTCTATTCAACGCTGTGCGTTCGATTTGCTGCTTCACTTACGGCTGATTTACATTGTTAAGTAGTTAAGTATTTAACTAAATTTAATTTAATTCCAAACGTCAAGCTCTTGTTTACTATGAAACTGCTTGTCAAAACGTGTCAAGTGACAAGCCCCGCCCACCAACTTAACAGAAAAATTAAGTAAAAAATTAGTTACCTACTTATCTACTTAACACGTGTAAATCAGCCTTTATGCAAGCATCGTTTGTCAATACGAGCGTAACGTAAGTGACTAACAAGTGTAACAAGAAGAAGAAATCGCGACTCCACTTAGCAAAGGGAACATAATATAATGACGTCCCTAATTTGCAAACGTAATTGAAAATTATTGATTTCAAAGCTATTAAAAATCTGATTTTACCAATTGAAATCTCAATGGTATCACAACTTGATTGTCAAAACAGTGCTTTTTATTCTTTTAGGTGTCATACGGGGAATCCCCTCCCAAACCCAAGCTGTCCTGGCCGAGCCAATCGCAGAAAGTCCTCGCAGAGAGAATGCCGTCAACTGTCAACGGTATAAAGAAAACCAGCAAGGCTCCCGCTGTGAAGAGGACCAACTCGCTGCCGTCCAACCAGCCCACTTTGCTGAGTAAATTCGGGTTTCAAAAGAAGTAAGTTTATTCATATTTCTAATCTTAAAAAAAAAAGTTGTCACTTCTATAAAAATAGATATTTCTACATATATTCATTGTTGGATTTGAACCCACGGCAGTGTTTTATTTTGCCTTAGAAGCGGACATCCATATTTTATTAATAGGGCAAAATAAAACACTGTGCACAGGGCTGGTCACAGCTTAAAATAATATGTGGGAGTGGTTGTAAAAAATGAGAAAATCAATTATAACTGTTTATACCGAGTGACATTTGTGGATGATCTTACTAAAAAGATTGATTATATTTCTATTGTTCAAATGTAAAGTAAGTTCAAATCTTATGAAAAAAAAAGTTTCATACAAATTGTCATCAGTAATCGCCAATAAGTATGGTTTTTTGGGAATTTGGATTCTGGATTTGCAAGATCGATCCTGTCGGAAAGTAGTTCTATTTGAGCTGTAGAATTATTCCTAGTACTTTTAGTTAATTTGTATAACATATTTTTTATTTTGTTTTCAGGGCGGTGATGAAAAGGTGATAAATGAAAAATTATGGTATCTTTTGTTTTTTGTTGACATAATTTCTAATATGCATTTGAAATTGCATTTACATATTCAGTTGTGTTGATCTGTTGTAAAATGTGATTATGATATTGAGTACTTTATGTTATGTTAAAGTTTTTACTGTAAGAATAAATGATTATCTTAACTTAACTACTTGTATTGTTTTATTTTAAATTATTCTGGTCCTAAGTACCGGATTTTGCGAAACCGCTCTTTCATTTGATTTTTAAGTGAAATAGCATTATAGTCCAGCTCTTTAGCTAGTCTCTACTAGACGCCCAAAGATTCAAGTTCATTACCGAGTTTACTTTATTTGTATCCCTAAAAATCAAGAGTACCTACGCAGTAAGCAAAATGCAAATATATCTGCTGCGCCAATAGATACTGGAAATGTATTGATTTAAATCCATGCAAAAGAAGAGAAGAGAGAAAAAGAGTCGAGCTACTTTGCAATCAAAGATAAGTTTACATAAATCATAAGGTTCATAAACAGCGGTGTCTAAACACGCACGCGGTGAGCGTGTCCAGTCAAGTTCAAGTATAAAATAATGTTATTCGGACGTATTCCGTCCAAACAAAACTTATTATTAAATTCGAAAGTAAGTTTCTGAACCGATAATTCTGTACAACTCAATCGACTTCAATTTAATTTGGTATAGGTATAGCTAGGTTTTCTTTCTACCCTAGGGTATAGGATAGCGCGCAATAGTCTTTCTACGACAGATCGAAATTCACGGAGGCAAGACGATTAAAGTCCAGCCCAAAAAGTCTTATTAAATTCAAAAGAGCCTTAAAAGCTATTTGTTATAAAATTTTCCAGTTGCCATTGGCGCAGACTTCGCTCCGCAACCGAATGCTAATAACGCGTGATTGTGTACAGTGGGCTATTCAAAATTCATCTGATAGCAAAAACGTCGCATTATAATGCCTTTTTAACGAGGGTCGTATATTCTTCGCGGGAAGTGTGGGTACAGTCGAGGGCAGAAACTTTTATGAATGGCTAGTTGACACCATTAACCCATAATTCCACGACACTTCTGAAAACACTGAATTTTAAGTTTATGAATAAAAACTCCTAACTCGAAAAACATATATTTTTTAACTTTATATAAATAATAGAGACATTTTATATGAATTCTATAAATATGTTTTATTATTTTAATTAGTGAGTTAAAACTCATCAGTTACTCATCCATCATCATCCAAAGTTCATATTATGGTATTACCAGAGTACGAATATATTACACACTCAATCGTAATAACATTTTTTTTATTTTTAAAAACCTGCAGGGTTAGATCACTTGATTATTAGGCAAGAACCATCCTGTAAATTAATTTTAAATGTCTCATCTGGGAATTGAACCCAGAACCTCCGGAAAAAATTAACAAACTCTGGCTACGCTCTAAACTACAGAGCCGTTTGTAGTAGAGTTTGTGTCGGACTGTACGCATATTAATACACGGGCACTGAGCCGCCCGAAGTGTAAAACAAAAGATTGCTTTGATAACAACACTTAATTATATTCCCATTCTAATGAGATTTCTTTCCCTCTGGAATTGCCTTTTAATTTATGGAGGAAACGCTTGCAACTGCTGTTATGTCAATGTATTCAGGTATTCGTGAGGTTTGCGTACTTCTGTGTAAAGATAGTATCAACATTTAAATGAAAGAAGGTTTTCAGAGTCATGTCATTATCATAATAAGCCCACGTTAGTTCACTGTTGGACATATAAAGCAAATTAAGCAAACTAGATCGTGAATTTTGACCATAAACATTGTAGGACGAAATACGTCGTGGCTCCCGCAGAAAATTCTCGTTTTATTCTGGGTTCTACCAGTTCTACCCTAAAACTGCCTATAGCATGAGAGCCTGACTGCTGCGTGGTTGCCATAAGTATTAGTTTAAAAATTCATTGAACACAGGTATAACTACTAGTAGGACCTATTCTGATTTTGGAAAAAATCAATATTCCTTTTCTTCTTTCTTCTATTTTATTTATTTTGTGGTCATCGATTTAATTCCATTCATTCCATACACCGAAATACCTAAAGCAATATCGGCGGCCGGTCGTTTTAATTTTAATTGAAGTTTATGTAGCCTTTAATTGTCTTCGATTGCACCTACCATATTTTATCGGCGTGAAAATAATCCTTGCCTTGCCTTCCAATGAAATTGGTTCGGGGCGAAAGAGTAAGAAAAATCATAGAAGCGTTAGATAAACACATGGAATGTTTTAACTGGGTTCTCGTAGTCCACTTAAACATGAGATTTCCTGAAGTTACAGGGAACTATGCGAAGCAGACTTTGTGGCTTCATTTAAGACGAAAAAAGTAACATGCGTAACTTGCGTAAGACATACATTTTTACGTGAGTTTTAGGTTGGTTTTTAGAGCGCTCTTCGGTTCATATGTAGGTACATTGAATGGCAACTGTTCTAACTTTTGCTATTTTATCGCTGCAAATCTTATATCTATCGAATAATTCATGACTATATAGACTATAGTATGCAGAGGTAATGATTATGTGCATACTGCCCCCAAGCGGAAGCCGGCTAAGTACAATTGATTATATCTATTGTGTCTAGATTCGCGGAGCTTGGAGGATTAAACTGCTTCTAAACTACTCTTTCACCAGTTTCCAAGCGAATGTTGCTATTGTTTAGTCGGCTTAATTTGAATATTTCCCACTTAGCGCGTAATTAAAATTTCTGCGCATAACGAATTTCGATGGAACTCGATATTGGTGGCGATGGAATTAGAAACGACTCAATTTCGATGCCGATTTAAAATCGGTAGGTGTTAAGTGCTTCTTTGTTTACGGACATTGGGCGGGATTAAACCGGCCGCTGTTTTATTTTAATGGCATATATTTAAGGGTTGCCATAAAAGGCGATGGTTTCTGCCAGGTGCCAGCATAGGTACCTACCATATCCAGGCACACAAATATTAAGTAGGATTATCGAATAGTAAACTGGAGAAAATTTTTCTTACTTTTCGTCTTGGGCTTGAATAGAACCAGAGCACTGGCGTAGTAGAAGAGTTCAGTCAATTTACTTAATGTATCTATAGTTTTCGCAATTTTGTTAGTTTCATACAACAATAGTCAATTATTCTCAAATATTCATTACTTAATGCTAGCAATGGTTAACACAACATTTGAATATTTGTGTAAACTCGACTGCAAAGCATTCTCTACCAACGTCTGCACACTCAATCTGAAACAATCTCAGTAAAGGCGGGTAAAACGAAAATTATGTTAATATCAAATTTCAGGTTGAGTTAGCAGATTTTAATTTCGCCTCGCATGTGTAAGTTTATGTGCATGAGCAAAAATATCGAGTAATGTTCATTACACAGGCCCGTTATGATAACGGCCCACGAAAACACCATATTAACGCGCCAGATTATTTTTAAATCCGGGGCATCCTTTCAAAATACACGGCCATGTTGTTTCAGGCCGACGCAATTTTCTGTAGCCGTCACACAATTCCCAATTTTCCGCGAAACAATAAAAAAATCCGGTGTAAAAACATCGCCGCCGTATCTCTTCTGTTTTGGCGGTGTGCATATAAAACTCGCTCTATGCCAGCGGTGCCCAAAGTGGCGTATGTATAACTCCGTAGATTGGATATTTGTATATAATATCATGTATGTAAAAATTCGGAGAAGACTTCAGTAGCGGATGTACTTTTGACTGAAATTATAATGATGATGAGTTAAATTTTTAAAATATTTTACAACTTAAAAAACTGAAATGTTTCAGAAAAAATATCATTTACGACGTTTTATGAATGACTCAATGAAGTTTATTTTATTTATTTATTTCAAACTTACATGCACATAGAACAGTGTACATAGGGCGGACTTAATGCCTTTCGGCATTTTCCTACAGTCTACAACAGTCAGTTTAACTGTTTTGTCGTTTTATGTGTCTTCTGTGTTGATTGGCGGATAAGGGTGTGTCCAAAATATGTATCTAACATGTTATTCAAATTGTCTTATGCCCGTTTTCACCATCAATCCTTAATTTTTAAGTGACCCCTATGGTAACACATGACAGGAATTTTGTGTTTACAAAGGAGTCACTTAAAAATTAGAGCACAAAGTTGTAAATAAATACTTATAAAACTTGCTAAACAATTAGGTATGCTTTACAATCTGTTACACAGCCTGGACTCTACACCAAAATATGTCATTTTCAGTAACCTGTAATGTAGGTACTTTTCATGTAAAGATGCAACCGGCAATCGTTTTAAAACGAACCCTTATGACCTAGTTCTATGGTATTGTTGTCGGAACAATTTATAATTCTCACTTATCGCGAAGTTGCATAAGTGAAATCCTTAGTCGTACATCACTTGGCAACAATGGCGAACTCGAACTTGTTTTTAACATCCATTTATCAATTATATGCCTCTAGGCGGTATTGGGGCGAAATTAAGAAATAAGTCGGTGTAACTTTTCGGGGCATGATTTATTGTTGCTTTTTTTCGATGAGTTTGAGAGGCTACTTTAAATTTTGTTGTGGTAGCTCCAAGATATGGTATCAAGGTACTTTTGTAGGTACCTACTCAGTGTAGAAAATATTATTTTATTACATAACTATTCGAAATCAATCGATTTAGAGAAATATTGCACAGTTTTTATTCGCGACAGTACCTACTAACTACTTACTCGTACGTACTTACTATCGGCCACAGTGTTAACTATCCATTTCCGTTTTCGCTTTCGCTCTCAACAAAATATGGTGATTTTTGCGATAGAACGAGACAACATGACCGGCGTTAGTACTTGAAGCATTTTTAATGTTTCCTCCCTACAAATTAAATCAACTTGCTCCTACTATTAAATCAACTTGCTCCCTACAAATTAAATTAATTTTGTTGAAGCTCTGCAATTTACTACTTTAGATCCTATCTGTGGACAATGGTGCTGGTTGCATTGTTACAAAATTTTCAAATTATTAAGATAAGCCCTCAATGTAACTGTTTGTTGTCCCAAATAAAGAGAAAAAAAATAACTTGCACAGTTTCTACCAATGATCAGTTTATTCTTCCACGCTAAAGACATTAAAGAAAAAAACTCAGAATAACAAAAAGTGCTTCCGTAAAATCGGCCGCATAATAGCAACACTCTCAGCTTGATCCTATAA